TCAATTTTTAAATAGCCATAGGCCTATTCGGATTGCCTGTTTCTTCTAATGTGAATTTTGGCAGATTGCGTATTTCAAGGAGTTGGACAATTTCTTCTAGGTTATAAAATTTGTGATAGATAGAGTTGTTCATAATATTCCTTTATTATCATTTTAATGTTTATGGGATCTGCTTGTCTATAGGTAAAGTGATTTTTTTTCCTTTGATTTCTTACAAGATTTTTCTTTATCTTTGATTTTCTGAGGTTTGAATATAATATGCCTAGGTATAATTTTTTGGTTTTGGTTTTGTTTTGGCATTTATCCTGTTTGGTGTACTCTGAGGTTCCTGGATCTATGACTTGGCATCTGACATTAATTTGGGGGAAATTCTCAGTCATTATTGCTTCAGAGTCCTTCTGGTCCTTTCTGTCTTGCCTACTCTGGTCTTCCCATTACACGTATGTGTCACCTTTTGTAGTCGTCCACAGTGCTTGGATATTGTTCTGTTTTTTTATTTTTATTTTCAGGCTTGTTTCTCTTTGCTTTTCCATTTTGGAAGTTTCTGTTGACATAGCTTCAGACTCACTGATTGTCCCCTCAGGCATTCCAGCCTACTAATGAGCCCATCAAAAGCATTCTTCATTTTTGTTACAATGGTTTCGAACTCTGATGTTTCTTTTTGATTCTTAGAATTTCTGTCTCTCCCTGCTGACGTTGTGCATCTGTTCTTGCATGCCATCTACTTTATCCATCAGAGCCCTTAGCATATTAATCACAGTTGTTTTAAGTTCTGCCCTGATAATTCCAGCATCCCTGCATGTCTGGTTCTGATGCTTGCCCTGTCTCTCCAAACTCTGTTTTTTGTCTTTTTGTACATCTTGTAATTTTTTCTTGATAGTCAGATGTGTGTTGGGTAAAAGGAACTGCAGTAAATAGACTTTTAGTGATGTGGTGGTAAGGTGTGGGGTTGGGAAGCATTTTATAGTCCCATGACTAGGATTCAGTATTTGTGGGCACATGCCCTGGGTTGTAACCTTCACACATGCTCTTCAGCCCCCTTGTGTGGGACAAGAAAGGTAAAGGGGCTGGATGGATATTCTCCCTCCCCGGGTTGGTCAGGCTCTGGTGGAATCATTTCTCTGTTAAGGAGAACAGATGCTCTGCGGCAGCAGTTCCCAGGCTTTCTGGCACCAGGGACCGGTGCTCCTATGAGAATCTAACGCCTGAGGATCTGAGGTGGAGTTGAGGTGGTGATGCTAGCACTGGGGAGAGGCTGCAAATACAGATGAAGCTTTGTTCACCTGCCTGCCACTCACCTCCTGCGATGCGACCTGGTTCCTAACTGGTACCGGTCTGTGGCCCGGGAGTTGGGGCCCCCTGCTCTGGGGTACTCACAATGGCTACTTCCGCCCACAGCCCACCCGAAGCAAAAGGAGATTTTTCTCCCATCTTCAGTGTGAGAACCTAGTGTGGTTCCTGGATGTAAAACTCACAAAAGTGTGCCCTCCACCCCGGAGTTTTTAACTCTCAGTCTTGTCCATGCTGAGCCGCCAGCATTTGTCAGTCACAGTTCAGGTCTTCCTGCCCCAGCAAGGTTTCCCAAGGATGTTTCTGCTCATGGGTTTCTGCTCTAGTAAGTTGTGATTCTCTAGGTTCATCTCTGTCTCTCCAGTTTGGGGGGTCTGCCCTGTGAAGGACCCCACTTCTCTGAAGGACCAAAAAAGAGTTTTTGATTTTGTTTGTTCAGCTTGTAACTTATTAGGATGGAGTGCCACTTCCCAGATCCTCACATGGCAGAAGACAGCGAGGGCCCTGTGCCCTTTCTAACTTCCATATTTTCTCTTTGAAGTAGGAACAGGCTGTCGCTGTCATCGGATGCCTGTACCAATGCTGTATTTTGAGAGCAGCTAATTTGTTTCCTGGTTTCACAGCTGGAGGCAGAGAGGAACCTACCCCGAGAGGGATTATACATGCACCCATTCGGGATTTAGAGAGTGGAGCTGATGACACCGAGATGAGACTTTTGGACAAAGCTCTCATGTGTAATGGTTGAGACTTTTGGAGGTGTTGGGATGGAGAAATATATTTAAAATGCGGGATGGATGTGAATTTGGCAGGAATAAAGGGCAGACAATCATAGGTGGAATTGTTGCCCCCCTCAAAAGATATGTCCAAGTCCCTAATTCCAGAAACCAGAAATTGTGACCTTGCTTGGAAAAACTGCCTCTTTTCTGCAGATGCAATAAGGTTCTTGAGAAGAACAGACCATGAAGGATTAGCAGTGGGCAGGAAGCATCTGAGGACACTGTAGAGTGAAGGTGGTGGTGACAGAGACCCCCCCTATGCCAGGAGGTCTGTGCACAGTGAGGGGCTGTATGACAGGAAGACCACATCCATGGTGATGTTCGTGCTGGGCAGTGTGACAAGGCAGAGTGAGCAAGGAGGAGTGGGTGGGGCTATAGGTAGCCTCAGGCCGGCCTGAGATGCCAGGAGGCATTCTACCGCGCAGGATCTGGAGGCCAGAGCTTGCAACGGTGTCCTTCCTCATCACCCGTACTCTCCGCCAATGCACAGGTGCTGGTGCTTCTCTGGTTTGTTTTGTGCTGGAGAGATCAGGCCACTGTGTGCTGCACAGGGCATCTCCATCCGCACCTAATTTGTGCTCCACCCCTCATCAGGGCGATAGCCCCAGTCAACAAGCCCACTGGGGAAAAAAGGTGTTTTGAGTTCGGTAGGAAGTCTTGCCTCCAAGAGGAAACCCATTATTGTGAAATGGCCCGTGAATGACTGGCTCCACTTCTGTAGACTCAGGCTCTGAAATCTGCACCCTGAGCAGTGTGGCCTGTCCTGGCCACACCCCACGACCTGGGACGCTTCTTCCCCTTCTCCCCACACTGCCCTCCCTGCAGGCTGGCATTCCCGGACAGTCAGGAGCTTGTGCGTGGACCCTGGGCGGGTGCAAGTGCCTGTCCCCTTACCCGTAGGAGGGGCGAATAAGCTCTTTGGGAGGCCCCTGGGAGCAGTGGAGCGGACGGGAGCGTCTGATTCTTCGATGAAGTGCTTACTGGGCGTTAGGAGTGCACGCTGGCCTTGCCCTCTTACCAGCCCCCAACGTTGTCTTCACTCCCATGAGGAGCATCTCAACGCTGCCACTGTTCCACATTTAGAACCAAACAGCCCTCCAGAGCGTCACTTCCATTGGAAAACACAGGCCAAGGCCCAGGCTGCTGTGGCCCAGGGACCATGAGAAACTGGTTTCTCTGCTTGTCCCGCCCCCTCACAGTGTAGAAGCCCTGCTGATGGCTACTCCCCCTTTCCAGGGCATCTGCCCCAGTGCCTCTGAACAAGGGTCAGGCTCCCTAACCTGTCACCAGTTGCAAGTGCCCAGTCTGGGAACAGAACAGCTGTTCTGAGGAGGGGACCCAGGGGCCGCAGCCTTGGGCCGTCTGCGCATCCTGGGACCCCTGCCAGGCCCTGACCCTCCTTTATATCCAGCTGGTTGTCTGCATCCATGAGACGGACACCAGCCCATCACTCACCTGGGAAACACGGCCTTCTCTAATGCACAGGCCTGCTTGAACAAAAGTGACAGTTGGGGAAAGTGAGTCACCCGTCCCTCCCCAGGATGAGAAGGGGACAAAAGGTGGTGAATAAAACCCAAAGGGCCCTGAGGAGCAGGTGCTGCTTCAGACCTGGTGGGAAAAGGTGCTGGAGGGTCGTGTGGTGCGGGTATCAGGGGACAACAGCTGTGAGTGATGGGATGGCCACCACGGCTTCCTGATGTTTATCCATAGCTGCGGGAGCCCTGGACACATGGTCAGGCCCACAGAACACAGCCTCAACCTGGTCCTGCTTGGCGATCCCTGCCCTGCAGCTCAGGTCTCTCTGCCCTGCCACAACGGCCTTCACGCCGGACACTGCACATAGCCCTGCATGGCTCTCCAGGTGGTAGGTGGAGAGCAGCTCCTGGAGTCTGCAAATGGATGGATGCCTTCCCTACGCTGCCCCTGCTGGCCTGCTTTTTGCTAGGGAAGCTGAGGGATGAATGAGACCGAGTGGCTCTTCTGGGGAGCAGGACCACCTTGCCTTCGGAGAGCTGGAGCTGGAGGACCAGCCCTGTGGCTTTTCACTTTCAAAATGAATCAGGGAAAATTGCCTCCTTGACAAGCCCACCGCTGTTCCAAGTTCCCACATGGGCGCCAAATGCCGGAAATACTATGTGGATGTGGAAATCAGTTGCAAATGTGAAAACTGACTACAGTTTGCATTGTTTTCCAAGTTTTACTCAAATCCATAGCTAATAATTAAACCAGCAGCAGTGAGAGGGGAGGGGGCTCCTCAAAGGTGAGGCAGAGGTGCCCCCTTGGTCTCATGGTCTCATGCCAGGGTTGATGCTTCAAGTGATACAGCTGCCTCCAGGAGGGCATTCCATCAAACCCCAAACCCAAGCAAAGCCCCCACCCCAACTGACTGCATATAGTCAAGTTTTTTGTGGTGTTTGAAAATGTCTCCAGGACTGATGGATTTTTGTGTTTTCCTCTCTCTTAAATCTGTGTGCACGCTGATTTTGGGTGTCCAAGGAAAATCACTTGTGGAAAACAGCACTGGCCTTTCCCCACGTCGCTTCCTGCCTTCCCTACCCTCCTCACTGCTCTGCCCCTCCCCCAAGTTCTGCCTTTAAGAGGAATAGGACTGCGAAGCTCTAGACAACTGGGCACGTCCAGGAAAAAAGGGGCCGGGGTTTCCTGGCTGAAACCCTGGACTGGCTTTGGCACCAGCCACAGTGTTGTGCTGATGGCTTAGGCCACTCGAGTATGGGGTCAAGGAGGGCAGTGAGTTGCCCTCCAGGACAAACAGTGCTGGACAACTGCGGCTGCAGCCACTGGGTGGGTGGGCGCTGCAGCCACTGCCAAGTCCTGCCGCCTGCTCGCTAAGGACCTATTTGAATAAAGAAAATCAAAACAAGAAAATCAAAATCAAAACAAGAAAATCAAAATAAGAAAACAAAATACATGAAATTGATTTCACAGGTAGTTTTATTGAAGCGCTAGACACCCATTTGCTCACAAGTCCAGGTTGCCTTCATGCAAACAGCACACCTGAGATGTTGCGACGGACACCACATGGGCTTAAAGATGAAGCAGTTACTACCTGCACTCCCAGAAAGTCTGCTGATGCTTTCTTTAAACAAAAGAATTGCCCTTTTTGATGAAATGTCAAAGCAGTTTCATTTCAGCTCAATGTGGGCTTCACAGGTACATTAGCTATGGGCCTTGCACTGTGTCCACCTTAGTATGTAGTGTAAACCAAGCTCACAGCATTGTGTCTTAGGACCTATGGGGTGACAAACTGACAAAATCCGTTCCCATGAGTCATACATAAGTTAAAGGGCAGAGAGACTGTGGTACAGGAATAGAGCACATGGACAGCTTGACCCAACACACAGGTCAAACATCAGCGTCAGGACAAGCGCCACATCAGGAGAGAAAAATGCAAAACCGGGGACACATTCAAATGCCCAGCTGGTGACAATGACACAGGCTCACTGCGGTCCTCACACCAGTCTCCAGAGGGTCACGCACCTGATGTGATTCATGTGGTGAGAGCCACCACGGCACTTACTATCAGGATGCTGAGGATGGCAAGAGATCAGCAGCCTGCCAACACTCTCCTGAGGCCCAGCATCAGAGCATCAGAACATCCATCCCCCTCGCGTCTTTCCCCAGGGTCCAAAATGTAAGGCCAAGAGAGTGCACCCGGAGTGGGGCAGACAGTGAGAGGTGAAGTTAGACAGCCGGGGTGGGGATGCGAGGGGGGTAAAGTTACATCACTGTGGGCAGCTGATCTGAGTTAGAACTTGTGCTCCTGTGTGTGGGAGGGGTGTTGTAGGAGTGGAGTTATTGTACATGTGATGTGGGAGCAGAGGGAGGAATTAGTGTACCTGGGAAGGAGCAATGGGAGGTGGAGGTGAGTATCTGGGTGGGAAGTGGGTAGGCTGGGGAGTTCTCGGTTTCATCAGGGTCTGGGCATTTTCCCCTAGCTGGGGACTACCAACCAGCTGGTTTAAACAGGTAAGGTGTCTGTGCTTTGCCTTCCAGTCACCAACTCAGTTCGGCAGGTAGATTTTCTGCTACTGGAAGGCTTTAAAGTATAAAAAGTTAAATGGGGGGCCAAGGTAAAAAAATAGCACATGATCCTTAATTACTGGCAGGAGAGAAAAGGTAGGAGAATAAGCCTCTAGTGAATGGTACGTATTTTGGGTCCCACACACCTTCATGCCCAGTATCAGGTATATGCATGCCCAGGTGACTGAAGAGGAGAGTGAGCCGGAGAGCTCAGGGCTCGCTCACAGAGGGATCACTAGCAGAGTCCTGGTCCCCACTTCCAGAGGCCTGTCAGCATCTGAGGTGTGTGCAGTCCGGAGCCCTGTGGGCGCTGGGTGGTGCCTGCCTTCAGTACAAGCAGGTATCAGACAGCTGCTTGGGGCTGAGTGGGGCCAGGCACAGTGCCCTGCTGGGCGGGGCAGGCTGTTTTCAATCCCCTGTTCAGAGCTCTGCAGAGCTGGATGTAGAGGAGCAGGTGCGATAGCGTAAGTCACTTGGCCTATGGCTTCCACCTGCCTGCTCATTAGAAACATGTGGGGACATGTATACCCCAGATTCTGACTGAGGGGCTGGGGGTCAGTGCACATGTGTAAACATGCATGTGTCTATCTTCTGAGTCCCTGGTTGACCCCAGCGTGTGTGTGCGTGTGGTGTGAGTCCCTGCATAAACCCAGTGTGTGTGTATACATATTTTCTGAGCCCAGTGTGTGCATGTGCATGTGCACATGTATTTTCCGAGTCCCTGGGGAGCCCAGGCTGAGTATGTAGATGTATTTTCTGAATCCCCGGGAGCCTGGCCTATGTGTGTACATTTTCAGAGTCTCTGGGAGCCAAGTGCAGCCGTGGTGAGAACTATGCCCTCATGGGCTGCCGGGAGAAGCTGGAGCGTCGGGCATAGCCTACCCCCGCACTAGGCCTATGCCCAGGGCACGAGCTGCCTTCCCTCCAGTGTCACTCCCAGGTCTGTGAGGGCTTGATCCAGGTGCCATCGCCTCCGGGCAGTGAGAGCTTTCAGTAGCTGCCCCTGTCAACACACCTATGCCTCTGTGTGCCCCCGCCCCCGCCCCCTCCCCAGCATCAAGCATGGGGCTCAGAACCCCTCAAGAACCCCACCACGTGGTGTGTGGGAAAGGCCAGGAACAAGTGCTTGTGTGCCTGCGTCAGAGTAAGGACCTTGGAGGCCAGTAAGTACAAACCGAATAAGACACAGAGACTAGGACTTTAATTTACTGGGAAGACCCTCAGGGAAGTTACTTCTGGAAGGGTAACTTCCCATGTCTTCCGGGAATGGTCAGCTTCCACGAGGCTGAGCATCCCTGGGCAACCCAAAACCCACACCCACCGACCGGGAACCTCGGAATGTGGCCTTATGTGGAAGTGAGGTATCTGCAGACATCATCCAGGTAAGGACAGAGATGTGATGACCCTGGATTAGGGGGCCCTGAATCTAACATAGGTGTCCCTATAGAGAAGGGGAGGGGAAATGTGAGACACAGACATGGGAGCCTGGCACATAAGGACAGAAGGAGCAATGGGGTAATGTGGCCACAACCCAGGGGAGCCTGGAGCACCAGCAGCTGTGAGGCAGGAGGGACTTTCCCCTGGAGCCTCCGAGGGAGCGTGGCTCTGTGATACCCTAATCTCAGACTTCTGGCTCCAGACCTGGCTCACACTGCTATTGTTGCCTCCATCTGCGGTACTCCGTTCAGGCAGCCCCAAAATGCAGCACTGCACCTGCACACTCAGCCTTACCCAGAACTCGGGGCACAAGTGGGCAGCGTGGGCCTACAAGAGTGAGGGGGAGGGGAAGACACCTCAAAGTGACACCCCCTTGGGCACAACCCTCCAGGATGCTGTTTCAAAGCAGTCCGGGGCTACCTGTTGTGAGAAGGGAAGGGGGTCCCCCACTTCTCCACTTTCCCCTGAGGGGCCCTCTCAGGGAGCCAAAACCAAACAAAAAAAGCAATGTCAATGTGTATCTTCAAAAAATACTCTAACACTAGCATTTCTCTTGTTTCTCAATAGAAATGTGGCAGTAAAAGCACATCAACACTTTTTTTTTTAACAGGCACAGTATGTACTATTTTCACATTTGGCTAAAAACTCGCAGTGAAATAATTATTTCCGGTGTTTATATGATGACTTCAAGGTGTGCTAAACTCTCAGCTTCAGTTAGAAAATTACCATAGAACCAAAAGGAAACCGGCCTGTCCCCCAGAGAGAACCAGAACGAGTGCAGGCGGTGGGTGTGCGCTGAGCAGCCTGCGTAAGAAGCAGGCTCAGACTGGCAGTGGCCCTAGTGGCCCTGGGGAGGGCCTTCTGCCCACACGGGATGCGCCTGCAGCGTTTAGGTGGGCAGAGTTAGCGGATTCTTTCATAAGGATGCAAGCCTTCCTTTTATGCTTAGCCAGAATGGAGAAAGGATGAAAATACAGCTACTTGTGATGCCAGAGACCTGGGGTGGGGACATGCGCGGGGTGCAGCCTACCCTCTGAACGACGAGCTGTCATGTGCTGTGGGTGGCTGGGTGGGGCTGAGCCCGTGTTCGAGGTGTGGGTGCTCCTGACACCTGGCAGCCCGTGGGGGCCTTGAGGGGATGCTGCTCGCTGTCTACAGCCAGAACTGCTTCCCACAGCTGCACCTCAGCTTCCCATGTGCCGCTGCCACTGCCTTTGCAGCAGCCTTTGGTCCCAAGGCAGCCACACCCCCTGGGCCAGGGAGTGATATCCCAGGGTCTTCCCCTAAAGGAAGCATGCAGGGGTTGAGGACGACGTACCATACTGAGAGAAGGGATTCTCGTTAAAAGCAGTCACCTTGGTGCTTTCTTGTCCTTCTAGGTCAGTTTTTTCATTCGGCGATTCTGCTTGTCGATGGTTAAGGTCGTCCGGTCCACAGCGGCAGCGATGCCATCCAGGGCCTCGTCCTGTCTCTCCAGCTCCATCTCTGCATCCAAGGCGAGGCCTTTCAACTTCCTCAGGATCTGCGGGACAAGCACGAAGAAGGACAGGCCACCTTTCTTAAACTCTCAAAAACAGACAACACATCTTCCCATCATTTTTATAATACCAAAGGAATTCTGAGTCAGAGGGGCTATGCTATGTCCCCACGATGGAGCCCAGAGTCAGAGCCTGGGAGGGCTGTCGGAGACGACGGCTTGGCCCGGCCCTGCTCCAGGCCACAGGCGGCAGGCTGACCACGAGTCCCTGCTGTTCCAACCCACGCTCGCTTGTCACCGATGCCTTACCACATCCATGAGGAATTCCCGCCGCAGCAGCGGGGCGGCTGGCACAAGATAACATGAGATCTGGGGCCAACAACTGGGATCCGGTTCCAGCTCCTGCCCAATCGGTGGTTCATTACCTGCCTGCACCCAACTATCGTACTGCAGGCTGAAGCTCGAAAACAATATTTAAAAACAAAAGCAAAACCTTATTCTTATCTGTATGGTTGAAATATTTCACACACAAATACAAAAGGCAGAACAAAGCCCAGCACAAATAACCCATGTCTCACCGCATAGCCCCCTGGGACCAGGAAAAGTGGGGGATCTGCGGCTCCAGGAGGCAGGGAAGGGATCGGCTATGGACACACGGGGGGTACAGAAATGCCACAAACTGCAGCAATGCCACAGGGAAGCCGGTGGGCACCCTCGGGGTGGAGGCTGCTCTACAGCTGCCAAGTGGAGGAAGCCACCAGGCCGGACGGCAGCCCCTCCCCCACACTGTGACTCATGCTATCCTTCATATAGTTTTATAAACCAGTAAGAGCAGCCGTTTTATGACAAGTCTACAGAGACTAATTGCATTGTGAAATGTACTTTAACTACATTCTTACTGAGCCTGGGTTGAAAAATTTAATATCCTCAAGCTGACAAAAGGAATGGTTTTAAGAGAAATCTTAATGATCAACTACTTGCAATAAATGTTAATGCCTCTTTTAGGGAAAGTTTCAGACCACTGGTTAGGTCGAAAGGCAGGAACTACAGAATGTGAATCACCATGAGGGTCCCCGGAGCCTCACTACTCACCCCCAGGGGACCAGCCCGCCTGCAGATCTGTGCAAAGTCCCCTGTCACAAGAGGATGAATGTCAGCAGTGAGTGAGCAGCCTGGGCAACTGCCCCAGAGGACCCCAAATCTAATCTATTGATAACCTACCGTGCCCCACAATGATGTCACCCCTAGGTCCCACCAGGTGGCCCAGGACTGTGCTACCACCCGAGAGAGCCACGTGGACTGTACCTGTGTGGTGTCATAGGCCGGACAGCGCTGGGTGGTCAGGTGGCAACTCTGCACACAGAATCAAGAGGGATGCCTGACCACCTGGCCACCACCCGCTGCGGGAGCTGCTTCGTCTGATTAACAAGAAACAGAATAAAGGTGGGATGATGGCCAGAAGGGTAAGATCGGCCCCTCCCAGGAACAACGAGGCTCACATGAGATCACAAATGTGAACAAGCTGTGAAAACTGTAAAGTGCTATGTGAGGTGCCGGCGCCAAGTCTCAGAGCACTCGGTCTGAGGGGCCCAGCGCCACCCCAATCTGTGGAGGGGACAGAGATGAGAACTGAGGTCACCCACGCACAGTCACACGCAGGTTAATGGCAGATGCAGAACTTGGCCCACGTCTCTCTCCAAGCAGTGTCATCACTGGATTGTCGTCATGAGACACGAGTAAATTGTGTGGCTCAGACGCCACCTTTCTGCACCCTCTGGGAGCTGGTGGAAACTCCATCGGTTGAGTCACTTGAAAAACTGGACGGCGCTCTGGAAAGTACACCGTGGGGTCAGTCGACTCTGGAGGGGCTGGCTGGATGACCTAACACAGGAGGTCTTTTCCACCTCTCGTTCCTATGATCTCACATGGCTGGGGCCCAAACGGGAGAATAAAAGTCAGCGCTTACAACACATTAGGCAGGTCCATCTGTGCCACTTGCTCCGGTCAGCCAGCCCCTCATAACGTACGTCCACTTTCAGTGTGACAATAAAGCCATTCCACCAGGAACGCACACAAAACATCCCTCGAAGACTGGCCTTTGCCACCCACCTGCACCCCATCTGACACCGACACCCCCAAGGTCTCTCTCCTGCATTGAATGGTCAGGTTGCACAGACCCCTTTGGCTTTCTGCAACCTCTATGTCCTTGTCAGTCACGTCAAAATGTGGTCAAGTTCATTACCAGTTGAACTCTTTCAGGAGCACCAGGCCCTGACTGTAAAGTCAGCCTCATGCTGTGCTGTTGGCAGATTCGGACCCTCAGCAGGCAGCAGCTATCCCTCAGCACAGAGCAGGAAACAGGACTTGGAGAAGTAAAGTCCCCCCAAATCCAAATCCAGACCAGGGCCTGTTGGGTGAGCGCTGTTGGTGGTGTCATGGCGCCTCCCATATGCTTCCTTCAATCCCAACATCCACACTCATGCAGAAAAGCAAAACTGGGGTTAAAGTGTGTACCCACACTTTATTGTTTCCTTATCCCCTTATCATCCTAAATGAGGTTGAGTCACAGGCCCCCTATAAGGTGCCCTGATTGCTCTTTCTCTCAATCCTCAAACTCACTCTGCTTCACACACAGGCCGGAGCGGGGTGGGGTGACTTGCCTGATGCATGCAGGGTGCATCTCCCAGTGTGGCCCTGACACGACCGGCCCGTCACAAAGATAACAGATGTCACAGCACGATGACTCAGAAGTCACGTCACCAGGACCCTGAGATGAATCACAAACATCTCTTAAAACACAGCAAAAAGGCCACCACCAGGGATTGGCAGGCCATTCACATACCAAGGAAGGCTGGGACCCAGAGCTGTGCTGGCTCATGGAGCCCTCAGCGACTGTGGCAAGACAGCCAGTGTAAGGTGAGCCACACTTGTAATTTAAAATTCTCTAACACTCGCATTTTAAAAATAAGTATAATTAATTTTAATATCAATTTTAATATATTTTATTTAACCTAATCAACCCCAGATAGTACCATTTCACCATGAAATCAATATTAACAATTAGATATTTTATGTTATTTTTTTATATAAAGTCCTAGCAAGCTTGTGTGAATACTATACTCACAACACATCTCAACTTGGACCAGCCACGATGGCTAATGGTTACTACGCCACACAGCACAGGACCCCATTGCCACACGACAGCACTCTCACCAAGCACCCCCACTTTCCATGACAGTCTCTGCAGGTCCTACACGTCCATCAGCCATCTTCCTCCACATACCAGAGCTTCTACCAAGAGCCACTTTCTGTGACAGTCCCTCAGTCTACAGCTGAACAGTGGCAAGAGCAAGAATACCTACATTCTTGAGTCTATGTTTAATAAGCACATACAACTTATTTTGTAAGCAAAAAATAGCTGGCATGCCCACAGAAGCTGAGCATTTTTCTGAGTTGGTAGTCCAAACAAGGGTGGCTCCTACTGAATATTTCGATCTGGGAAAAGTATCTCCGAGAGGACGGCCTGAACGACAGCACTCACTCCATGCAGCCTGCTGAGACCCTTGGCTGGTCTGCCAAAAGTGTACTTGAATTAATTCTGCAAAAATTAAGAGAGATCTTTACACCTACTAAGAGAGATCTTTATAGCTACTAAGTGTGCAAAGACTATTACTGAGTAAACCTACAAACTACTAGGACCTCAGAATACTGGTACCGTGTCTTTTTCCTTTAAGAAAGGGATTGAAGCAATTAAAGGCATCGTGTGCATTCCATAGAACATGGGACGGAAAGAATGGAGAATATGAAGTCTAGCCAAACCTTAAAAACAGTTGTTACTTCTGTGGCCCAGGATGACAAGCTGTCTAGTCATCAACAGATGACGCTGCCAGCCTCTGAAATATCAACCGGCCTCTCAGATGAGCCCTCACTGGGCTCTGCGTCAAAGACCAGGCTCTAATTGGACTCCTCACCAAGTCCCCGCTACTCTGACGGATAAGCCCAGCAGCCTTTTTTCCAGCCACATTCATACCTACACAGAAACTACCTGATTAAAAGTACATTGAGTTTCATAAGAAACTAACTTTTATGAACTCCAAAGAAATAAAGAAATATACAGTGTACTCGGCACAAGCAAGGCATGGAAGCACATGTGCTGGGGCCACTCGGGCAGAGGACCCTGGGAATGCGCAGTGCCTTTCTGCTCAGAGGGTCATAGGCGGCCCCCAAAACCAGCGCAGGAGGCTCGGTCCCACAAGCAGATGCTGGGCCCCCTCACCAGCATCAGTGACTGGGAAGGGGGCAGCCAAGATAACACAGGTGGGAAGTGGGAGGCACCACATGGTCCCCAGGACAGAGCAGATGCTACTGGAAGCAGAAGAACCTCTACCTTGGCCACACGCTCTGGCACCTGCACCCCCCCACATCACAGATCTCAGGACAGTGGCACTAGCACCACCCAAGTCACCACAGGAGTGCATATGGAGACATTTTAGCCTTCCGACCACTTCCATTTTGTTTATAAAAACAGGAAATAAATTATGGAAAAATACCTCATCCACTAGAGTGGGTCCACTTACCAAAACAAACGTGTTTAATGTTTCTTGCCTCACTCGAACCAGGAGGGGACCCCAAGCTCTATGGTGAGCTATGCCGCCAAGGGGGCTTTGAAATGTCTGTGTCACTGCAGCAAGGGAAGGACACAGTACACAGAAAGACAGACCTTGATGCTTCCAAGATGTCTATAAAATTCTAGTTGTTGTCTCAACTTATAGTCAGAAAAAAGAAAATGTTTCGCTCCACCTCATGATAAAACTCAGGATTCAGAGTCTTACTATATTAATATTAAGCACCTCCAGTGAGTTTAGTATTAGCTAGACTGTCTGCCCTCACCTTGTTATTAAGCTGACTCACTGCAAAACTGTGAATTTTCTTGCAGTGAGAAATTAGCAACCATTTAAGAACAGAGCTGGGATAAATCAAGCTGTCTGCAACTCTAAATAGTTCTGCCATTTGAGGCCGTTAACATGCTATAGAGAAGGTAAAGA